TCATAATTACCCTAAAGGACAGAGCAGAACTGTCCTATTAGGGTTCCAAGACTGTGAATCTTTGGGACTAATTGATTAGTATACCACCAACCCTTTGATAAGCTGCTGAGCAGGATTCCTATTATCTCCCTTGTTATTCTTGTTAATGTGCCATGGAGTTGGTTCCCACTCATAGTGACCTGTATAGTGTTCCAGAGGCTGTAAATCTTCATGACAGCAGAAAGCCTCATCTTTCTCCTGCGAACCAGCTGGCAGATTCAAACTGCTGACCTTGTAGTTAGCAGCTCAATTCTTAACACACTACACTAACCAGAGCTCCCTTTTCCTCTCCCTTTATTGTTGTTAAGTGTTGTCAGTTGTTTCGACTCAAAGCTACCCTGCATAGGATTTCCAAGGAGTGGTTGGCTGGTGGGTTTGAACTGCTGACCTTGCTTTTCAAATTGACCTTTAAGGTCTAGTGCTTATCCTACAGCACTACAGTAGGACTCCCAAGTTTGTGAGTTATATCAACCAGCCCAGTTATTACTCCTTGCCTTAAGCAATTGTAAGATACTGAAGGCATGTGAGTTACAAACAAACAAACAAACAAACCAAACCTTTGCAGTCATTCAATTCCAATGCATAATGCCACTAAAAGAGTAGAATTGCCCCTAGGGTTTCAAAACTTACCTGAAAATCTTTACAAAAGCAAACTGCTATATCTTTCTTCCAGAGTGGCTAGTAGGTTCAAGAGGCTTTTTCCTTAAGGAAAACAACAAGAACAACAAAAGAAATTGATAAAAGCACTGCTTTACAAACTAATATAGATGAGGTATTCAGAATGACAGCATTTGAAGAATGACAGGAATGAAGACTATAAGTAGTCTCCTGTTGCTAAATGACTTTGAGTTGGCTTCAACTCATGTTGTGATGTGCCCGGGAGTCGGTTCCGACTCATAGCAACCCTGTACAGGGTTTCCGAGGCTGTAAATCTTTACGGGAGTAGAAAGCCACATCTTTCTCCCGCGGAACAGCTGGTAGTTTCAAACTGCTTACCATGAGATTAGGCTTCAACTCATAGCAACCCCTGTATAGTTTCTGAGGCTATAAATCTTTATGGGAGCAGAAAGTTTCATCTTTCTCCTACAGAGCAGCTGGTGAACTGGAACCTCCAGCCTTGTGGTTAGCAGTCCAGTGCTAATCCTGTAGAATCACCTCACTCCAATAAATAAGTTAGTCAGGAGAAAAGAAGACAGAACTCAGACATTAATTCTGGAAATGATGGGTGAAAAGAATGAAATCATCAGTATAAAATAGAAAACAAACATAGCCACTAGTGAGATTGAGCACTCAGAAGTTTGTCCAAAAAGGGAAGGTGATATTCACCAATCTATGAATCTATCCAGTTATCTTTACACTTATCAAAACTTGTAACCAACCAATAAGAAAGGACCCCAACCTGTAGACAATAAGTCTGGCTGCTCTGGGTCAGTCCACTGAATAATAATTAGCCCTGCCCACAGGGTATTAACATGGGTATTAACCACTCACAACTTTTACTTTATATTGTTAAAGGAACATATCCTCGAGGAACATTTTCATAAGCTTTCTAAAAATTGAGCTAGGTGATATGACATACAGTTACCAAATGGTTAATTTAGAAATCAATGCTATTGTTTGTTGCCAAAATTCTTCCTTCTCTATCTGGCATAAATACAACATATTTCCTTTTTATGCTTCTTTCCCTCGTTTTTTGCCTCCCTGCCTTTTCTACTTCCTTCATTATTCTCAAAAGCAAAACAAAAAGAAAAGCTGTTGGAGAAAATCTATAATTGTGTCCCATGTTTCTCTTACAATGTAACTGTCTGCTTTTATACTTTTTCAATCCATATCTTTAGTCTTTCCCTTTAATGTATACTTGGTATCTAATAATAGCATAATAGAAAATTAATCAACAGAAGTGGAATTTTTAATAAATTTGCTGAGAAATTACAGTAGCTTGTTTTTCTTATATATCTACTAACAATGAGTAGTTAGGATCTACTTTGCTTATCTAATTATGTGGAATGAAAAAGAAAACCAAAAACTTTTTGGTCAGAATTTTATAAAATAATTTCAATAAAAGAGGCTCTGAAATGAGTTGTGTGTTCACTATTCATGTATCTGGAATGACAATAACAATCATTTCACAGAGTGGACGTGCTAAGACTTAAATAAAAATTTCAATCGACAACATATTTTTCCTACACTAAAAAGATGTGTCTCATGTGCATCAGAAGAACTGGATGGTACCCAGCTACCATCAGTGGATTTGTTGATCAAAGACTCTATAGAAGAATCCTGATCAAAAAGATGTAGAACCTAATTTCAAATTCTCGTGGAATCCTGATTTTCTGGAGTGATTGATGCTGAAGGAACCCTTAAAACAATTGTCCTGAGATAATCTTTATCTCGAAACCAAAACTATACTTGAAGCAAAATTTAAACCAAACAATAGTTTAGCTAAAGTAGTGAATATTGTCTGCCTTGAGCATTGTGCTCTTTTAAAGAACTGTCTGAGTGGGATCAAGTTGATAGCAGCTACTCCGAAAGGTTAGGCAAGAATGAAATTCGTATGCATTGATGTTAATGAAGGAAGGAACAATGCAGAAAAGAAGGATGAGAATGATTGTCCAACTGTATTGTACAAGTAGAGATAGTTGAATTGGTGTATATTCTGCTGTGTATGTTTTCAACATTCAAAAAAATATGATAAATTATTCAACCAAACAAAAAATGTGTCTCCTAGATAGCCTATGAAAGTATACAGATTACATTCATTTTTTTTGTGTGTTATACTTTCAAAAACGTCTTGGCTAGACAATTGAGAATAAATATAAAAATTAATTTCAATTACTGTTTCATATGGGGGTATGTTTATTCAATTCAAAGTGATTTTCCAGCTTGTAGCTATAAAATCCAGAATTCTAGTGTAGTGCTGTAGGATCAGCACTGGACTGCTAGTCACAAGAAAGGTGGTTCAAATCCTCTAGTTGCTCCTTGACAACTCTATATGGGTCACTAGGAGACTCAGAACTGACTGAGTGGCTCTTAATAGGCTCAAAAGCTGTGTTACTCTGTTTTCTTAGTACAGAATAACATTTAGTCTTTTAGACATTTTGGAATTTTACGTATCATTTGCATTACAAACTTTAAGACATAAATGTGTAAATTAGTACTATCAGTAATCATTTTCAAAATGACCATCAGTTATGTTGAAGGAACTTTAAATACTTAACGTCATTGTAGTCTTCAACAACTCTTAAAATATAGGTAATGTTCCAATTTATAAAAAAAAGGAAATCAAGACAGAATTTTTAAAGTCAAGACCAGCTGCCAAAGCAGACAGGAATGGAACCCAGAGGTTCAATATCCCACACATTCTTTATTGCTAGCGAAACAGTTTCATGAAGATAAGAAACAACATCTTTTTCTGAACTAAACTTTTTCAAATATATAGTCTCCAATGTGTTTCTTCTTTAAGGAGCCCTGGTATCATAGTGGATTATGAGCTAGACTGATAACCACTAGGTCAGCAGTTAGAATCTACCAGATGCTCCATGGGAGAAAAATGAGTATTTCTGCTCCCATAAAGATTTAATCTTGCTCTGAGTGGTAACCGATGGCTCGCCCACCCACCACCCCAACCATGTTTCTAATTTATAAATATTTCTATTGGCATTGTCTACCTTAATACAATGTAAAGAAATATAGTATTAATGTAAATGTTTTAAATTGACCGCAAATGGTGAGAATTGTGTCTTGCTTGCTATGATGAAGAAAGAATTTAAAATGAAGTAACATCATTGTGTTCATTTGTAAATAACATATTGCAGCCAACTGTTTCTTAATTGCCCAGACTGTTGATAAATAATCCAGTCCTGCTGCTCTCCACAGACAATTTGCTTTGGATCAGTCCAGGCAATTCAAACAACACTAATTACACCGAAACCCTTTTATATGAACTCCTGTTTGTCTTGGGGAAGAAAACCCCTTATACTTAAGGCTAAATCAAAAATCTTCTTTGATTTTTGCCTGAAACATAGCACCTATTACCTTGGCTGAAGATGTACTACCTGATTGAATTTTGATTGAATAAAAATGTATACAATTGTATGTAATGTTGAAAAATTTGTATGCATTTCATTACTTTTGCTTGTTTATTGTGTTGTTATAAATTATGCTAATTTTGTAATTTAATGAAAAGATAGAACAGATGTGGAAGCTTTACTTAAGACAGTATTTTCACGGAAATAAGCTAAATGATTATTTACTATAACAGAAATTACTATATTAATAGATCAATTCATCTTTGCTAGAAAGAAACCAAGACTGTAGGGAAGTCTTCACTATATCAGGGGATTTGCTGTAACATGATATCATTGTATTTATGATTTTATGGTGTTAAAATGAATATTAAATGAAACAAAATTTCCAAGGATTACTCAAGAGGCAGCTAAGTACATAACATTTTGTACAGATGGTTGGAAGGCACAATTTTGCTCCATCACTGCATCCATATCCTTGAATGATTTCAACTGAAGACAGCATTTCTTTGAATTTTTCATTAAACCAGACGTCTTGAAATATGAATTCCTTTTATGTTTCTGTGAGTTTTGGCTAAAAGAACCCCAGTGAATAAATCATACAATACTACGTGTCACCAGCACTTGTGAATATTCTGCTTTGTTATTCTATTCTCAGTAGAGCACCATTGATTATCAAACTCAGCGGAGAGCATTTTATGATCATATATCTCCATTAGCTCCTAGTTTGACTACCATAGATTTTTCTGGTTAAGCCTGCATTATGTATTAGGAAGCCTATCTCTTCAATACAAAGTTTGATTTCATTTTTTTCTAAGCCTAGAACTCTTATAATGTATTATGTATAAAGATTCTTATCTTTTACTTGTAAAAATAGGCTACAGTGTCTTTGTGTAACTTAAATATATGCAATGTTGTTTTTTTCTTGATTCACAGGTAGCATATTATACTATGAAGATGAATCTCTACAATACAATGGCTGTCAGGGTAAATATTTCTTCACTTGTTAAACAAATGAAAAGTCAATTGCGCCCTGAATTCTCTTTTAATAAAGTGAGCAAACCCGAATAATATCAATTTGATTGATATGCTAATGGAAGAGAGAAAAGGGTTCATAGTTAAAAAGTTAGTTATGCTAAATAATCTTGGCAGCATTAAAAATCAGAGTAAAATGTAAAATGTGTAATTACAAATACTTAAGTTTTAGAATATTAAGTGTTTCTGAGCTGTAACTAGAGAAAGAGTGTAAGTATTAATGAAACAATGTATTAGTTTCCATATGTCATAAAGCATATTGTGATAAATGGATCAACATGGTTCTGGAATATAAGATTCCTGCCCAATACAAATTAATTAGAAATTATTCATATGATTTAACAGTAATAAAATCAGTTTCCAGCTTAGAAGTTTTCTTTCTATCATTTCTATGTTCATTTTTAATGTTATTTTTTAAAATAGAAAGCTGAATTTAATGATTATGGAGCTTGAACTTGGATTTCACATAGACTTTTGAAATGGACACAGCGGAAAGATTATTTCTTTTGTTTGAGAATAGTTGCTGGTATCTTAGCTGCTAAATTGTTTGAAATGGAGAAATTACTTAAACGAAATACACTTATGGCCTTAAAGCCTATGTTGCCTTAATGCATTCTCTTGTATTAATCGGCTAGTTCTTACTTTTGCTAATAATGGATTTTATTTTTGGATCAGGCTAGAAAGCGAAATACTTCCTGCAAGTCCATGTGTTGAACTATGTCAGATAAGTTCACACTGTTGTTTTTGTTAAGTGCTGTTGAATCAGTTACAACGCATAGTGACCCTGTACAGGGTTTCCGAGGAGTGGCTGGTGGGTTTTAACCACCAACCTTGCAATTCGTAATCCAGTGCTCAGCCTATCACCACTTCCTGTTTATCTGTGATAAAGCTCAAACAAAACACAAGCAGATTGTCATCAAGTCAATTCTGACTCGTAGCAATCCTGTATAGAGTTTCCGAGGAGCAGCTGGTGGGTTTGAACTGCCGGCCTTGTGGTTAGCAGTCCAGTGGTTATCCTACAGTGCCATTCCAGGACTCTACAGGCACTCCAAACTCCAAGACATTGACTAATAAATGATTAGTAGAGCGAAATCCTTGTTAACCAAACTTCTGGTTAAGCTTCTCTCTTTCCCCTATATGCCTGACCTTTGGTTAAGTATACAGCTCCTTCCCTAGAACAGTCTGACCTTGGAGTAAAACTTTCTCTAATCTATCTTCTGATCATAGATCTCTTTCATCCCACTTCCCAATACCTGGTTCTTTTTAGCCTGGTTTATTCCTGTCTGTGGGGAATAAACAATAAAATGTGCAGAGAATGTGTAAAGATCTGGAATCAGAAAACCAAAAAGGAAGAACACGCTCAGCATTTCTCAAGCTGTGGGAACTGAAGAAAAAATTCATGGTCTGTCTTTAGTTATTGAAAGATTCTCTGGGCAAATTATTGAATGATGCAGACAGAATACATTAAGAGAAGATGGAAGGAATACAGAGAGTCACTATACCAAAAGGAAATGGTTAATATTCAACCGTTTCAAGAGGTAGCATATGATCAAGAGCCAATAGTACTTAGGGAGGAAGTCCAAGGTGCATTGAAGGAATTGGCAAAGAACAAGGCACCAGGAATTGATGGAATAAAAACTGAAATCTTTCAAGAAAGTGAGGCGGCCCAGGAGGCACTCTGCCAAGAAATTTGGAAGACAACTAACTATCTCTCCGACTTATTGGAAGAGAACCATTTTTGTGCCCATTCCAAGTAGAAGTGACCTAATGGAATGTGGAAGTCAACAGACAATCTCTTTGATATACCATGCGAGTAAAGTTTTACTAAAGGTAGTACAGAAATGGCTACCATCATACATTGACAGAGAACTTCCAGAGGTTCGAGCAGGATTCAAAAGAGGCCATAGAACAACAGATATCATTGCTGATGTCCAGTGGATCTTGGCTGAAAGCAGAGAATATCAGAACGATGTTCACCTGTGCTTTATTAACTACTCAAAGGCTTTCGATTGTGTGGATCAT